AGAGCTCTGGAGGGAGGCCAGTCTGGTGGTTGGAATCTCATCCCCGGCCCTCTCATACCTCAAAACAAAAAAAAAAGGTCTGAGTTTTCTTCCACTGCAGTCCTCTAGGAGCTCATTTTCAGAGGCAAAAGCATCTCCCCCCCTTGGCTCAGTTTCCACCCAGCTGAAGCTGAGAGAGCTCGTGACTTCTGGAGAACATCTGGGAGTGTGGAAGGGAGGGAGCAGTGGGACAGCAAGGACTCAGCACTGATGGAGAGAAACCCTGCCTGGCTGCCCAGGGCAGGAGGACAAATCAGTGCCACGGCACAGGCAGGCTTGGCAAGTCTGTCTGTCTGTCCATCCATGCTCTCTGTTCCTCCTGGTGGGCCAGAACTCCAACCCCTCCTGATGGGCCAGAACTCCAACCCCTCCTGATGGGCCAGAACTCCAACCCCTCCTGATGGGCCAGAACTCCAACCCCTCCTGATGGGCCAGAACTCCAACCCCTCCTGCTCTGGGGTCTCCAGGCATCTCCAACCCATTCTATTTATGTTTTTGACCCAGAACTGAAGGTTTTTCTTTTCCCACATTTTGGTTCTTGCAAAGGACTTTCCTCTACTCTCCAACACGGAAGAGAGAGAGTTGATGAGAGCAGAGAATGGGGTTATATTTAATCCCACAACCTTTCCCAGGCATTGGAAAGCCACATATCCATTTCCATGGAGCTGGTGTGATGCAGCAGGGATGAGTCCCTTCACTCCCAGCAGTGAAGGGACAATGCCACACTGGGGCTGAGTTGGTCTGAGGGCAGAATGTGACCCACAGCATTCACTAAACCAAGCTGAGTCCTGCTCCCCATCAACACCTGAGGAACAGTTTTTACCCTGCACAGGTAGCTTGAGCCTTTTCCTGAAATTTATTATTATTATTATTATTATTATTATTATTATTATTTTCCCCTGAATATTAATGTAAACTCTGTCTTTTTGCCATTTCCAAGGCATCCTCTGGAGAGTCAAAACTCCTCTTCCCTGATAGGATCCCATCACTTACTCAACACCCCAGTTGCCAAAGGTGCAGAGAACCCCCTTACTTTGCATCCACCAACTTCCATGACCCCTCCTTGGAAAGCCAAGTGAGAGGAGAGGAATAATCACCCTGAAAAGTCCCACCACTTGGAAACAATGAAACAACAACCAAACCTCAGGGCAGCCTCACAAGCCACCGACCAGCCAGACTCAGCACAAAACACAGCACCCCCAATTTGCATTTCTATCTGGGGCAGCCCTGGGGCTCTCACACCACTGATACTACAAAAGGAAGGAGTTTCAAGCAGAATATTGGTAAAGTGCTGTAAAAAGGAGAAAATCCACCTCCACTCCCAAATTCACGAGCCAGGCAGCTTTCTCTGTCCATGGTCCCATCCTCCTCCTGATGCTGAAGGTTTGGCAAATATTCCTTTTTTTTTTTAAAGGCTCATTTCCTTTTAAAATACATCACAATTCCCATCCTGGCCGGTTCTCTGGAGTTTTCCTGCTGGAGACAGACCTCTTGGCTGCAGGGAGGGTGTGATAATGCTGGTGTGAATCCCCCTGCTGACACACTGGTGGGCTGGAAATAGCCTTAAATATTCCACACAGAGGTGTGTTTTTTTTCAGCTCTGGTACCGGTGGGTTTTTTTGCCTATTTTTCAATTTTGCTTTGTTATGCCCTAAATAAGGGTTTCTACACTAAATATATGGCTGATTATAGATGTTCTCTGAAAAATTTCAGCGTTGTAAAGAGATGAGACTTCCAGAGCTACCCAGACACAGGGTTGGGCAACTGGTTCTCCTGAATAAAGTCAGTCATGCGTTTCTACAAGTACAAATTTAATAAATCACACCCCCAATGGTACACTGAGGCTTTGTGGCAAGGCCTTTGTTAAACACATGTTGTTATTGCTGAAGGCTCTTTGTGCTGGGTGCAGGAACTAGGCTGGAGGATTCTAGGGAGAGCCTTGTCTTTTTGGCAAAACCAGTGATTATTTTGTTTGAAAATTATTTATCTCACTTTTTAGGTTCTCAGTCAATGCCAGGAGGAAAGAGATACAGATACAGCTGAAGTGGTTGTGCCAGGAGCTTAAATTTAACTGATTTTTCACACTGGTCCCATTTCCAGCATTTACACTCGGACTGATGCAGGATCAGATCTGAGTTTGTTGTTCTTTTCCATTCCATTCTTTTTTTATTCTCATTTCATGGCTGGAGCAGAGTAAAAGCCTGAAGAAAAGCACAAATTACACCAGCTGGGCAGATCTGGCAAACTCAAGGAGCTCGTAGACTGAAGGCACGTGGAATCCACCAACTGCCTCCAATTACCCCCATCTCATTTTCTAGACACACACTGAAAAAAAAAGTGTCTAATTTGCAGCTCTTCAGCCCAAATTACCTTAAATACACCCTTCAAAATGACACAAAAGAACCTAAAAGGGATTATTGTGCATTTACACCATGGCCCCACCACCAACTTCAGCCCTTTTCTTGCCACTGCTCAAAGTTGCCCAGGGCAGTTCTTTGGTGAGTGTGGCCTGATGAACTACAACAAATGACATTTGCCCAATTACCCCTTCTTTTTTTCTCCACACCTGGGAGATCGTGAGAGGCCGAGGGGAAAGTTTACAACAGCAATTAGGAACCACGTGGCTGCAACACTTTTATTGCACTGAACCTGTTGATCAGCCGATTGTTCCCGCTCAGAGTTTTCCCAAGGACGTACCAATAAAAATTATCACAATAAATCAGAAGAAGAGAAAAAAAAACTTGAACCAAACCAAACTCTCCTGAGCCATCACAGGTCCCAGAGTCAGGTTGTGACTGCAGAGCTACTTTTGCTTTAAAAAATGAGCCCCAAATCCAAGGTCTGAGCTGAGAAACAAAACAAAGAGGGATTTTTCTCAAGCACTTCAGTATTAGTCACCTTGCAGATCAGGGCTGATAAGGAGCATGTGAATCTTTTTAACCCACCAGTATGAACCAGATCCCAGGAACATTAACACAACAGAATAATGAAAGGGTTGAAAAGGAACCAGTCACAGGGTAGCACCCACTCTGTGCCTGGTGTTGTCCCAAAGCTTCAGGGGTTTGTGCTTTCTGACAGCAACGATCGACCCAAGAGCATCGGCCAAAGGGCTCAGCCCTGTCACCACTTCCAGGGTGAACCTCAGCAGATGCCTGACTTCCCCCTCTGCAGGATCTGGCCCCAGAGGATTTCTTCATGCCAACAATCTTTAAAGAAATGGGATTTTTGCCAAGGGCTTCAGGGGAATTAAAAGCTGGAGCACCTCCAGCAGCTGATGGGAATGCTGTCCCCTTCTCCTGTCCCCAGCTCCAACCCTGCACATCAGCTACTTTGGTTTTTTTCCCCCTAAAGCAAACTCTGTAGAATTCCAAGAACTAATAGCCTGGTCATTTTTTTTTTTTTTTTATACTTTAATCCATTTTCACAGCCTGTTCTTCCACCAAAGAAGTCTTTGGCAATGCAGATGGCTGCGTGGCTCATGGTGACAGCCAAAAAAACCTGAAATAAGTCCACCTGTTTTGTTTCTTGAGGGACAAGGAGAGAAGAAAGGGGAGAAGAAAGAGGAGGTGAGTGATGCAGTGACACATTTGGGTTAACTTCCACTCTCTGAGCCTGGCTTGGTTGGTCTGACTCTGCTTTAAGGTCAGGTTGGATGGAGCTCTGAGCAACCCGATCTACTGGAAGGTGTCCCTGACCATGGCAAGGGCAATGGAATGAGATGATCCTTGAGGTCCCTTCCAACCCAGGCCATTCTGAGATGATTCCATGCCCACAGCCACTGTCACCAGCCCAGCAGTGCAAACAGAGGTGACCAGCAACAAAGTACTGACAGAATAACCCACTTCCAGTGGGCAACCTCGGGATGCTGGTGGGGCAACCTCACCTTCCAGGGGGAAAACAAGTGTGGGAGAAGGTTAGAACTGAGAGGGAAACTCAGACACAGCCAGCTCCCAACCTCCCTCCTCCCCCAGCCTGCTGAATTAGAAACAGGCTCGCTAGAAATCAAACAGTACAGGGAAACAAGGCTGCAAGAACAAAGCCCTGAAATCACAGCATCACAGAATGCTTTGGAAGGGACCTTAAAAATCATCCACTTCCAACCCCCTGCCATGGGCAGGGACACCTTCCACTAGCCCAGGTGGCTCGGAGAAACGTGCAGAAGTCCTGGTGGCACAGGGAATCAGCTCCGGCACACACGTGTGTGTGGATATTTGTGCGTGCGAGCACAGACAGACACATCGCCGGCAGAAACAGCCCCGTCTGCTCATCCTGCACCCAGCTACGAACCATCTGCGGCGGGGGAGGAAACGCCACTGCCCCAGCAAGGGACCTGCAAGCGTGGAAATCACAGCCAGGAGGGACACGGCAGCCACAAAGCACATCCCTTGCTCCCCGCTCCTGCTCTTCCCTTTACACAGCGCATCCACGCGAGGCTGCGCTGCTGGGAGAGCTGCACTTTGCGGAACTTCCCGTGGGCAGCTGGAGGAAGGTCCCAGTCCCTCCCACCCCGCGGCCCCCTGCCCTGCCGCTGAATCGCCTCCGGGAATCCTCATCCCGTTATCCCCGCTTTTGGGGCACGGGAGAGCTTCGCACAGAACCACCGAGCTCCCGAACAGAAACCAAAGCGCGGCGAAAGCCGGGCTGCAAACCTGGATGACAGCGAAACCCAGAGCCGGCTGTGAAATAAAACGCTACAATCCCCAGAGGGAATTCCTCCAGCTCAAGAGAGCTTCTCGCTCCCGGAGAGGACGCACACCTGAATAAAAAAGCAAACCGAGGGATTGCTGTTTTCCGGATTGGCAAGTCTCTAGATGAGGGGGGGGATAGGGAAGAGAACAGATCCACCCGGCAGCGCTCCCAAAGTTGCCCAAAGTTTGCCCGCGGCGGCCGCGGCAACACCGAGCGCGGGGCGCGGGTCCCGCCGGATGCCGCGGCATCCCCGCATCCCCTCGGGCACTCACCGCGGACAGGAGGCAGCCCAGGAGCAGCACCGCGACGCCCAGCCCCGCGTTCCGCATGCCGAGGGTGTCCCCCGTCCTGCCAGCATTCCCCATCCCGGCCGGAGCCCGGCGGGCAGCGCTCGGCTCCCGGCGCCGGGCTGGGCGCATCCAGCGGGGCACGGAGGCAGAGGAGGAGGAGGAGGAGGGGGGAGAGGAGGAGGAGGAGAAGGAGGACGAGGAGGAGGAGGGAGAGGAGGAGGCAGCCCCGGCTCCGAGCCCGCTCGGCTCCCGCACCGCCCCCGGCACGGGGCGGGTCCGGCACCGCCCCCCGCCCGCCCCAGGTACGGCAGGGACGGGGGGACAGCGCTGTCCGGGCTGCTCCTTCCCCTCTTCTTGCTCCCTCATCGCACCCATTTCCTCACTCCCCCTTCCCTTTTTTCCCCTCCCCGCCCCGGCTTCTTTTGCCATTTATTAATTTTCCCTTCTTTTGCTTCCTCCCTCCCCTTTTTTTTTCTCTCTTATCTTTTTTCTCCTGATTTCCTTATTTGTCCTTCCCTTCTCCTTTCTTTCCTCTTTCCCTTCTCTCTCTCCTCTTCCCTTTTAATTTTTTTCCTTTTCTCTTTTTCCATTTCCCTTTTTTCCTTTTTTTCCCTTTTACTTTCCCCCTTCTTCCCCCTTTCCTCCCCTTTTTCTCCTATTTCCCACATTTCCTTTTCACTATTTCCCCCTTTCCTCCCTGGTTCTTTTCTGGTTTTCCCTGTGTCCATCTTTCTTTTCTTTCCTATTTCCTTCTCCCTCTCCTATTTTCATTTTTCCCTTTCTCTTTTCCATTCTCTCCTTTTTTCCCCCCTTTATTTCCCTTTTCCTCTTTTACCCCTTCTCCCTCTCCTCCCCTTCCTCTCCTGTTTCCTTCTTCTTTTTTTCCCTGTTTCCATTTCCATCTTTCTTTTTCTTCTCCCTCTTCTATCCCCCCCCCTTTTTTTTTCCTCCCATTTCTCCCTTTTGCTCCATTTTCCCCTATTTCCCTCTTTCCTGGTCTACATCTCTTCATCCTTCCCTTCCCCGTTCTGCTTTCCCCTTCTACCTTTATTTCCTTTCTCCTTCCCTTTTCATTCCCTTCCTTTGTTAATTTTTAATTTCTCTTTTTTTTTTTTTTTAATTTTTTTCAATCACATCAAAGGGTTGGAGAGAAATCAAGGCTGAGGACACCAGCAAAGCTGGATTTTCCATCTTCCCCATGGGATTCCTCCAGCTCCAGAGTGAGAAGGCTGCAGATCCACAGCCTGCAGTGCCAAAGCCTCTCAGTCCCTGCTGAAGTCCCTGCTGGGTTCAGGGACCTTAATTTTTAATGAAAATGTAGAAATCTTTCCCCTCTCCAGCACATTTAATTTAATATTAAGGGCAATGCTCCTTTCACCTCAAGACAAACCACAGGTATAACTTGCTTTAACATGAAATCCCAAACTAATCCTAAAAATAAAGGTAATAGCAAGAAAAATAACACCTTCCTTGCTGTTCCTTTCTCCCCAACCCCGCTGCATTTTCAAGCTCAAACAGAGAGACAGATTTGTTGTCTCGTAAACCACCTGCCAAGGAAAGAAAACAAAATCCTCATATTTGGGAGGCCCTGGAGACAGCTCCCTAATTCCAGGCTGTTCAACTTACTGACACGACCAAGAAACCTGCCAATTTTAGGGAAAGGGATTAATGGTTAAAAACCTAAAGTTATATCCAGTCTTTAGCTCTTGTTGGCAAATCACTAAACCAGTCACTTTTTAAAGACAGCCTGCAAAGGGTGAAAAAACCCCTGTTTAATATATTTTTCCCCCCACTTTTATGGTTTTGTTGATACTGGGAAGACTTTTCTCCCTTTTCTTTTACATCTGATATGGAAAATACCACTCCTACCCCTCGTTTCCCATTGCAGGCCTGATCGTGGCTTACAATTGGCAGCGTAAAAAGAGGGAGGAGATGTAAATTGTATCAATTATTTGTAGGAGGATTTAAATCCTCAGCAAAGCTCAGTTTGGAAGGTGAAATGACAGGGGCGTGGCCAATTAGCTGGTCATTTGTTGTGTTAAGGGTAGAGAAATTTGGCAGGAAATAATCCCCCTTGTGATCCAGCTGGAGGCTCAAAGCTCACCTAAAGGTGTTCACTCAAGGGAGGAGGAGGAGAGACAGAGTCCACAGACTGATCCTGAGCAAACAGGGTTGTTTTCCCCTCTTTTTATTTATTTATTTATTTATATTTTTTTCTTCTTCATCTTCTGTTTCCTCAAACCCCTCTTCTTTTATGTTGCAATTTTTGTCCCTTCCCAAAGATGTAGAACAATTATAGATGGGGTTTGGTGGCTTTGGTCACGCATGTAAGGGATGTCCTCTCTTCTCTTCATTTGCATCCTTAGGGGTGTGAAAGTTCATATGCAAATAGGGCCTAATGAGGGTCTTGGCTGCTTTCAGTCAGAATTTATGGTTGGTATAACAGGTAAAATAAATGCTTTGATCCTCCTTCACTCACTGAGGGCAGTGAAGGCGGCCTGACCTTCACCAGAGAACCTTTGCAAGCATCCTTATCTCCTGAAAGGCCCAGATTTATAGCAGGGCTGGTTGTACAGAGGTGTGGGTGCTTTTCTGATCCTCACTGGCACAATCCCAGGCATGTGAGAGCCTGATCAGACATCATCCCGTGCTTAGTCCTTGCTCCAGCCAGCTGCAAGATAAGAGAGGGGCCCAGCTCGTGTTTTTCTCCACCAGCCTCATCAATTCTTCACCTACTTCACACAACTCTCCAAAAAATCTGATAATTTCTCACAAGGCAGCAAATTAACTCCATGGGGTCAGGAGGAGTCGTCTTGTTTGATCTGAACCCACCTCCTGTCCCCAAATCATTCACTGCCAGTATCAGTCAACTCACATTCTCTTCTCCACGTGGCTAAAGATTTTGGATCAGTCCCCCTTTTGCAAGCCAAAAAGCCCCACACTCCCTGGATCCCCACACTTGGAGCCTGTGCCACACCTTTGGCATCATTTTTGCCCTCTTCCGTACCTGTTCTTGTCGCTGTTTATCCTCTTTGGAACAAGAATGGGAGGCAGAAGCACTCAAAAAATTGGGGCACTGTGTTTTTTTTGGAGTGGCATAGTGATGGTCGTGGTTTAAACCTTCATTTTTTTGCCTTGGGTGGGTGGGCACAGGTGCATTCCCAAGGGTTAAACGGACTGACTCATGTATTCTGACACCAAGGAGTATTTCCCCCAAAGGATGGTTGTGTTTTGAGCCTGTCTCTGTGTAAATCACTGAGAGATGCTGGGGGAGGTTTGCTCATTTGCTTCACTTTCTGCTGAACTGTGCTGCAGTTCAGCTCCTGTTCCCTGTGCTGCTGGGGGGTTGGGACTCTCCCCACAGCGTTTCCATCCAACACCTCCCTGCAAAAGTCTTTCCTAAGCTCCAGTGCTGTGCTGTGGGGTTGGGAGGGCGGCAGCTGCTTGGTGTTGAGCAGGCTCTCTGCTCGTAAATTGATATTGCAGAGTAGAAGGCGCTTCTTCTCTAATCTCAGTCACGAACAATTCAAGGCAGCCTTGATCTAATTCCTCTTCACATCAGCAGCAGCACAGTTACTTCAGTGATCCCTGTCTTGGGCTGGTGCATCTTTGTGGCTGCCTTATTCCATTACCATTATTTAACCCCTTTCCTTAAAGGTAATTACCAGTTGTGCTGAGGCAACCGCTGTAAGTTGTTATATCTCTCTGAGTGTTGCTTGGGAAAATATCACACAAATGTAAGAAATTTAGGTGGAGATAATAATAGAGGTAAATAAAAGCAACTGGGTCGTTTCCTGCCTGTGTTGGTTTTTTTTCTCTCTGCCCCTGGCAATCAGAAATACAAAGACTAATAACAGCAGTGTCTAGAAGGACAATATTTGAGAGCTGATTCATGCTGTAGTTTGCTGAGGGCTGGATTTGCTGTTCTGTGCCCTTGGGGTTATGTTCCCCATTTAGCTTTTCTCTCCAAAGCCAGCACAATGCATCTGCTCTGCTTTCCACTTTGTGGCTTTATCTGAACACAGCAATGGCATCGCTGTTCCATAAACAAGCTGCGAAGGAAATTTCTGTGTGTTATTTGCGTTGGGATTAGAGGCAGGAAAACATTGGCTGGGGTGTTTTGCAAACAGGGCAATTACACCCACCTCCAGGACTTCATTATTTGCAAAATGTAGCATAAACAGCTGGTGCTTTGCTGTGGTTTGGGTCTCCCTCTTCGGTGTGGTGTGGCCTTGTGTGCAGATACGAGAGTGGCCCTAAGAGGAATCTGAAGCCAATTGACCACAACCCAGCAGGGCTGACAGCTCAGACCTCCTTCCCTTTCCATCCCCAGATGTCTCCAACAGTTTTCCACTGAAATTCTCCTGGAAATCTCCACCTGCTCAATGACATCCCTCATAAAGCTCTGAGGGCAGCAAGGGTGGATATGTCAGTGCAGAAGATTAAAAGATCTGAAGAGCAGGAGTGGAATATTTCAATTAAAAGGATCTACCTGATACAAGCAGGCTGCAATCTTGTCCTTGGTCTCTGGGGCAAGGGCAAATTACCCAGGTCCTGATGCTCACCTCACTCTGCAAGCTAAAGATAGCAATAATTACCTACCAAACTCCCAGAAGAGCTAAGGATTAATTGCTTCATAGTACTCAACATTTATTTCCACACAATCAAAGCCACTGGGAGCAGAAAAAACAAGCTTTGCAATTACTACTACATATCCACAGGGGACCATCCACTCATGAAGTACTTGGATAAAACAGTTTTCTCGTAATAATTTTTTAAAAAATAATCTTGTTTAGGTTTGGGCGGAAAAAGAGAAACTCTTCGGGCTCAGGAAGAACAAACAAGCAAAAAAAAACCCAAAACAAAAAACAAAAACAAAAACAAACAAAAAAAAAACCAAAAAAACCAAACAAAAACCCAAACAAAACCAAAAAAACCCAACTTGTGCAAAAAGCCAAACAAGCCAGAACTTTCCCTGAACTCAAGATGGCAGTCTGCTGGAACTGGGATGAATTCAGGTGAGTAGAAAGCCATGCATTATTAAAACCAGCACTATTTACACTGGGAACATTGTAAAACTGCTCCAGGGTACATGACGTGCCAGAGTCTCAGAGGAACGGGGTT